TCCTTGTTGACCGCATATTTTTGTCTTTTTCCCTAGCAATTATAGTGAATTGAGTTTAAAAAGGCATTTGGGGAAAGAGTTTAAAAAGACTTATATTTAAGAAAGCTAAGCACTAGTTATATATGAAGGTTTATATTTACCAATTTTGATGCAAAATTTTATAATAAATTAGTTTCCTGCGTGTATTGCTAGTACATATACAAACCCGGCCTGCAAAAGGCAAGCAATTCATTATTTTACAAAAATACACACACTCTATCTCTTTGCAGCTAGTTAGTTATATTGGTCCATATTTGGGTCAATAGACCACAAAATTAAGAATAATATTTATTTATCTCTCACGGTCACGAATTAAATTCTATCTTACCAATATATTCTCAATCTGGCTTGGTGTATATGATTTTTAATGGGATTTAGGGTGTGTTTAGTTTGTACATGGGAATTGAAATCAGATACACGGTAATGGTGGTGAGTTTTTTGGTGAAAGTATTTTACATGTTTGGTAGTATGGTGGAATTGAAATGATTATCAAATTGATGTTTGGTTATGTATGACCCTATAATGGGAATAAATGTTTTAAAAATACAAAAACTAAAAATCAATACAATTAATCGTAATATAATGGCATCAAAAACACCAATATGAACAAAAAAATCAAATAAAAAATCTAAAAGTATTAATCCAAACTTAAAAAATAAATTACCAATAAGATGAAATGATACACTTTTTTTAATTAGATAATGAGATTTTTAATTGAAGGAATAATCAAATTTTTTAGTTGTGTTATAAAAAAATTGTTAATCAAATACTAATTATAATTTCAATTCTTATTCATGGTGTTTAAACGTATAAACCCTTACTCTTTTGATATAATTTGTAAATCATTACACACTTTCTAAATTAGTGGTTACAAATTTTGTAGCAAATAATATTTTGAAATTTAAAAAGATAAATATACCGAAGTTCCCGGGAAACCAAACCGGCAACGTAACTACCAACCATGAATATCGTGCACGAAGCACGAGCACAACACACGCCCCTTCCATCCCTAACAATCTGGACCGTCCACGTGTGCCTTTCCCACCTTCCAGCTAAGCTCCACCCCCTTCCGAATTTATAAACAATCTACAGACTACAATCCCATCATCGCCTTCACTGAATCCAACAACAATGTCGCTCAAATTCTCCCCTTCCAACTCTCTCCAAGCCCTGAAGTTTGACAATGCTAGCCGCATTCACTCCCTCGCTTCCTTCGATTTGCGGAGGAGCTTCAACGCTGCGCCCGCGAGGTTCCTGGAGAGGCGCGCTGGACCTGGCGCCGCCGTCGGCGGTGGTGGTGGTTTGGTGATCGTCAATGCATCGAAGCAGGATCCTCTCCATGCAGTTCCTTTCAATCCGTTTGAAGAAGTGAAGGAGTTCCCCGGCCTCGTCTCCACCGATTCTCATGCGTCGCTCGCTCGCCACCACTTCAAGGATGCCTGCGAGGAAGCCATCAATGAACAGATCAAGTATCATTCCTTCCATATCTGTTATTTTATAAGCATTTATGTTTATGTGAGGTTGTGCTTGTGAAATGCATGCTAAGCTAGTACTTTTTCTGTATGAATCTCGTGGCATAAATTAGTTTGAGTATAACGAGTTTCCTAACACAAGATATTCCAATTTCCGTCAGATTTTCGTAGAGAATATGATTTCTTCTTCTTCTTCTTCTTCTTCTTTTTAATGTACATTGCGCTGTGTATACATAGCAAAGAGATAAAAATAATGTGTTTCGTCATGTGTGGATTAGAAAAACAACATGATATATACTATTCGTTTCTTCTCATTTTCTATTGCTGGTTGAGATTCTGATTCATTGATGTTCTGTTCCACTTAATGAATTGCAGTGTGGAGTACAACATTTCCTACGTGTATCATGCAATGTATGCCTACTTCGACAGGGACAATATTGCTCTCAAAGGCATTGCAAAGTAGGCAACGTATTGATGGGCTGTCTTTTCAGATTATTTCATTTTTTTACTCGTTCTGTTTTACACCATTACTAAATATCGGGTTGCAAACAGGTTTTTCAAGGACTCAAGTGAAGAGGAGAGGCAACACGCTGAGAAATTGATGGATTATCAGGTGATTTGCAATATTTTGGTCTGGTTTAGCTTTGCTCATGTCAATGTCTAAGTAAGATAAACAGTTGGCCTCTATTACTTAAATTCTGCTTTCTCTTGTTAATAATCAGAATATGCGAGGTGGAAAAGTTGTGCTGCATACTATACTGATGCCTGACTCTGATTTTGACCATCAGGAGAAAGGAGATGCATTATATGGTAGGTCTAACATCCCATTTCTATTGATAATAATGTCTCTAAATTCTATTAGAGAAGTTGTTATTGCATCAATGGTCAATTGTTCTGTTTTCTATCATATTGTTCTAGGTTATGCTTGCACAATAATTAGATGTCCATTTCTTGGCTACTTTCAGCATCTATTCTACAATCTACATGCCTTCAATTATTGTTGTCACATTGGAATATAATAGACATGGACTCTTGTCAAAGCAAATGATGTTAATTCTTATAATGACTGTGCAAAGCTATGGGCTAATTGCAGGAAACGTAATTCAATATCCCATTTCTCGTGTAACTAAGGCAATCTTGCGGTGGCATGTTGCTTACACTTATGGTGTTTAGCTAATTTATGGTGTACATTTATAAGGAAACGCTATTGCACTATGCCAATTCGCACTAAAAAGTTTTTGGTTACACCAAATAGTATGTGAACATTGTACTTACTTTTTTATTGTACTCGATGCAAATTGGTAGATCTCTACCTTAGAATTTTCTTATATTTGAATTCTATGAGTATGTTGAGCTACTTGAATTTATTTATTTATTTGTTTTGTTTTTTCCTCTAATGATATTAATTTAATATTCAGGAGTTTCTATCTTGTAGTCTACTTTTTTTTTTTTTTTTTTTCCATTATAACAAGGTTTAGTGATACTACTTGTTTGCTCCTCAATTTCAGCAATGGAGCTTGCTCTGTCACTTGAAAAGTTAACAAATGAAAAACTGTTGAACTTGCACAAGGTAGCTGCCTCCTATTCTCATAGTAGTCATGCATGCCTCGTGCCCTCCAATACTATCCTTCCTAGAAATGGGACTGAAATAATATATGGAGTTTGTAATGCATTATATATATGATCCTTAGGTTGCTGATGAGCACAATGATGCACAACTGACGGACTTTGTTGAAGAGGAATTCTTGGCTGGGCAGGTAAAAGCATTTTATACTTTTTTTTTTTTTTTTCCCTCCTTCCCTTCCTGAAATGAGTTGTTTAATCTGCATTTAGAGTAGTGATTGTTCACACAACAAAATGGTTTTGATTTGTAGGTGGAATCCATCAAGAAGATTTCTGAATATGTAGCCCAGCTGCGTCGAGTGGGCAATGGCCATGGTATATGGGGAACTTTTTTTTTTTTTTTTTTTTTTTTTTTTTTTTTTTTTTTTTCCAACCCTCATTGTTATTAATTTGATTTATTTCTTCTAACTCCCTCATGTTTGAATTGTGAATTCTCAGGTGTTTGGCATTTCGATCAGATGCTCCTCAACAGTAATGGCGCTGCATGATATGATGGACCATCAACCTACCTACCCCATCCAATGTATCCAGTTGTAGCTGCTGCTGGTTAATATTTCCTCATAGGCAATGAGTCAATCAACTTGTTAAAACAGTTGGCAACGTAGTATTGAAATGAAATTTGTACTCTCTAATATTCTAGACTAGTAGAGTGTAGACCATATGTTCTGTGGCTGCCTTTAGTTTCCCTAAACTTCTTGTGTTTGATACTCAACCACAACAATGAAGAAAAGTTTAAACAACACAAATTGTTGCAACACCCCACATGCTACAGATTACTGTTGACTATGTTCATGTTCCCATCTTCTACCATCAACTTTAAGTCTTTGTAGCTGATCATTTTCAGGAAATGACAGCACCCTTTCACCCAGATCTAAACAAAAAGTGCACATGCCAAGGCATTTCCAGCAGTTTGCATCATTCATTATTATTACTATTAAGCATTAACAGTAAGGATACAATGAAGTATTTACCAAAGACAGACACACATCACTTGGCCTCAACGAACAACCACTCAATCCTTTATGTCAATTCCCACTCGGACCAGCCCTGACTCCATCATTGGAAAGAATTCATGCTGAAGAAAGAGAGAACCTGGAGTTCACATAAATTTCCCAGAAGGACTTCACGTGTAAGCAGTGGCTCAATGCACATCACTGCAGTGCTCAGATCAACCACAGATCACAGTACATTTTTTTTTTTTTACCTCACACCAAAGATTTCAGTAGAATTTTGGGTACACCAAAACGCCTTACTGCCCAAGCTATACCTTTCTGTACAGATACAGATTTACAGAATACACATGTTTCACTTTCTGACATTCATGCAGTTTCAATAATGTATGTAACCCAAACTGATCTATATCATACAACAACCATACTTTATTAACATCTCACTCTTTTCTTTTTTGAAGAAAGAAGAAAGAAGAACATAACATCTCACTCTTTTCTTTTTTGAAGAAAGAAGAACATAACATCTCACTCTTTTCTTAATCACCACAAATCTCAAAGAGGATCAACATAATGTCAGCCAACAAATCACCAATTATTAATTCATACATTCCTACAACCCTTCCCAGTGGCTTCTAATTCAACACTATCAAATTAGACCTCCAATCCCTCACCTTCCCATTCATGCCTCCCAAAAAAGAGAAGATGGTAGACATTCTTCCTTTTCTTCCCTAAAACAAGAAACTGTTGCTTTTCATATCTTCAAAGACAATTCACAATCTAGTTTTAGCCCTTCAAATTTCCAGTCACAGAAACAGATTTAGCAAATATTTCAAACAAAATCAATGGAAAATGAGAGGCCAAGCAAAATGACAAAGAAAATATCAAGAAAGTGGGAATTGAAACTTATATAAGCTTGCTTTCTTGGCAATTAATTTCATTGATGACCATTGACCACCAGAAGCAAAAACCCAGAGTGCTATTCTCCTACTTTCTCAGGATTTCATTCACTAATTTACACAGCTATGTTAAACTTCAAGAAAAAATAAGAGTGGCACAGAGTTTCTTGCATTTGCATCTAACTCAGAACTGCCATTTTCTCCCTGCCAATGAAAGATCACTCACTCAGTGGAACCAAAAAAGATAGCATTTTTGGGAGTTACAAAGCTGTCATATAGGAAAAAAGAAAGGAAAAAAAAAAAAAAAAAAAAAAACCCAAAAAAAAAAAAAAAAAAAAAAAAAAAAAAAAACAAAGTGTAAAAATTTTCTTCATCTTCTAATTCATGGAGTCCTCGTCTTCTTCTAATTATAGTCGCCATGGATAGAAATTCGCTAAGAATCTAAAACGGTTCAAAGGGGGGGCGCGGGCTCAACGGAGCAAGTAGAGCACCTGATGAGGCCATTCTCGTTGCACGTCTTGCAGACCCGGAAGCCGCTTTTTTCGCTGTAGTATTTCCGGCTGCCGTCGCAGTCGGTGCAGAGGATGAATCTGTGACCGCCGCAGACCTCGCAAATGCCGGGCTTCGCCGGCGGTAGCCCTTCCACGTACGGCTTCAGCTCGCCGGCCTCGTGCATCTGCCTGATCTCTTCCGCGCCGCCAATGTACCTCCCGCCGATGAAAACCCGCGGCAATGTCAGTTTCCGCTTTTCCCGGACGCCCATGATCGCCCGTAGCTCGTCCATGAACCTACAGTCCATCGACAGATCCCGCTCGTCGATCGACACCCGGAAGCTCCGCAGGATGGCCTGGACGTCCTTGCAGTCCTCGAACGTCCGGCGCACCACGCGCAGGCTCGTCAGGTACACCACTATTCGATTCTCAGATCCCGGGAGAGAGATCGACGGCTCCGGTTTATCGGCGACATACTTCTGTACCTGTACCGGCAAAGATTGCGGTTTCGGTTCGGGTTCGGGTCCGGGTCCGGGTTGCGGCTTGGGCTGAGAATCGGACCCCGAGAAAACGCGGAGAACGGAGTTTGCTCGGCGGACCCGATGGAAGATATTAGTAGATTTCTTGGTCTGGGTCTGGGTCGGGGTCTGATTATCCGATACGGGCTCGTCGGCGCAGAGGGTCTGAATATCTTTGAAGGAAGAACAGGAGAAATTGGCGGAGGTGGTTCGATGAATCCCGGTCTTTGATTTGGTTCGAGTTAGCCACATGGGTTCAGAAATCCAATACCCAGGAATTTTCCGGCGAGAAAGAACACGACCCAATCGAGGAAATCCAAGAAATCCCAGAAATCCAAAACTTTTTTTTTTTTTTTTTGCTGTTTCTTTAACAGAATTAATGGCGGAAGAACAGAGACGATGGGGAAAGAGAGAAAAGACGCTGCAAACGCGGTGAGTGTATATGAAGTCAGCGATTCTTTCCTTTTATTATCCCTTCTTCATATTAATGGTGGGAGAGGAAAAGAAAAATGAAAAATCAGAGAAAACATAAAAACGAAAAGAAGAGAAAAGTGGAATATGGAAATGCCAACTGCTAAACTACGGTGCTGCAGATTTCTCTCTCTTCTATTTGTTATAATTTATAAAAACACCCCCAATTTCTTTTTATTCACCATAAAAACACACCGCTACTATCAAATGTTCACAATTTACCTTTTAAAAATTCATTCACAATTTGTATACTACAAACACACAATGTTAACATATATGTAATTGATTACCTTATTTTGTATTCATAAGTTCCTTTCAAATACTGCAGTTACACAATATTAACATATTAGGATTTGATTACCCTGTATTGTATTCACAAATTCCATTCTACAATGTTATATGTTTTAACTTAGAAACACAATTTATATTCTAGAAGTACACAATTCTAATACTAAAAATATACAATTTATACGTCATTTATTATTAGGGTACACCTTCCTGATCTATGGTATAACAACTCTAAATTTGCTCATATGTAACAGTCCGGCCACAAATTTCATCTTAGTCTAATTATTAAAAACTTCTACCATACATAACAGTATTAGTGCTGTGTTGTACTTGGTAAAACCATACAAGTATAACAGGTTGTATCAGGTATTTTAATATAGATTATATGATAACTGGTATAATTCACTATATCTACATGATTTAAAAGAATAATAACATTTTTTTGAATAGAGTGATAATTATTTACAAAATGACATTCTAGAAAATTAAATTCATCATCTCTCAATAAATTTAAATTAAATTCATAATCTTTAAATATGATATTCGACAACTTTTTTGGGCATGGATGACAATTCAATATATTAATCCATATTCTTAGGGCTACAATTTAACAATGATTGACCCACCACCTAGTGGCTACAGCCATGAAAAGAACCCTACCCCATGCCGGTTGTGTGAGAGCACTAATAGTCATATGTGCCATAAAAACTAGTACTTAGAATATGACTTGATAAATAGTTGGATCAATATTATAATAATCTATAATTTCAACATTTAATTCAACTTGTACTAATTTTATTCATAAAGATTTAGTTTTAGAGTAATAATAAATAATAAAAATATGTATAACAATTTATAATAAACACTAATTATATTATACGCTTTTAAAAAAATAGTACATCTAACATTAATTAATTAACCACAATAAGGTAGGTACCGACTTTTCTTTCACTTTGTAACTAAATATTGTACCAATTTGAACACAATCAGTAACAATAGGAATCAAAATTCAAATTTACGACTTCTAGTTTAAGCTATCATTATAGACACTAATCAAAGCATCTTCGAGGCTAATGTGGGGTTCGCTCAATGACCTTCTCTACTAGTTTTGGTAAATATCTCATGTGCTCTTCTAGTTGAGATACATTTCACAATTTTATATCCTCCATTAGTCTTTAATTAAGACCAAAGCAGTGGAGAACCTTAAAGTTGGAGTTCAAATTTGTCTAATGTGATATCATTATAAAGTTTTTTTTTTTTTTTTTTTTGAGGTTTATACACTAAAAAGAAATAAAGAAAACAAAAAACAACAACAACAACAAACTAGAGAGTGTTTTGATGGCGAAAAGTGTAACATTATATAATAGTTGTCTTATTTTTAATGACTTGAAGCATTGTAAGTATGTTCCACGTGACATCCACTCTCCTGTTTCTTTATTTTTTTTCTTAGTGTCTTACAAATATTTTATTGTAATTTTGTACTTTTATAATATATTGTTTCCTTCTTTTATCGGATTGCAGTTGCCAGTTAGCAACCTCTCACAAAAAGGCATGAATTGATACCACTCGGGCGTGGGGTTTGTTGTTGTCTAGTTCCTTTGCTTTTGCCCATTCTTTCTTCCTTTGTTCATATTATAGGTTGAGTGTGATGCCTATACTAAAGTGAAGATGCAAATATATATATAATTTACATATGAGTAAAGTTTAATCCTCTTCTGTGGTTTATGATTTATTACACATAAATATGATTTATTTAGAACATATATTGAGTAGTGATCGCGGGTTTTCCTTGTCACCTAAATATATATAACTTATTTATCATGTACATGCACTTGAATTAAAAGAACAATGACATTAACATATTTAATGATATTCCTATAATATTAATGATGGTGATGATGGTGGTGGTGGTGGTGGTGGTGGTTGTGGTGGTGGTGGTGGTGGTGGTGGTGGTGGTGGTGGTGATGATAATAAGGTTCAAATTGGTCACTGAACGTAACAAGAAAATGCAATTAGGCCACTGAACGAGAAAAAAAGTGCAATTAGGCCACTGAACATTTCAAATGTATGCAATTTCACCTGATAGCAGGTTAACATCAATTTTAGCAGGTTACCTGCTTACGTGACAGTTGAGTTGGCATTTTTAATATTTTTTAATAAATTTTAATAATAATTTAAAAAAATATTACAAAAAAAAAAGGAGGACGACCACCCTGTCCTTTTATTTATTTTTATTTATTTATTTATTTTAATTTTTTAAAAATTTATTATTAAAATTTATTAAAAATTATTTAAAAATGTCAACTCAACTGCCACGTAAGCAAGTAACCTTTAATTGATGGTAACTTGCTATCCGGTAAAATTACATACATTTGGAGTGCTTAGTGGCCTAATTGCACGGGTTTGGAGTGTTCTGTGGCCTAATTGCACTTTTTTTTCGTTCAATGGCCTAATTGCATTTTAAGGTTACGTTCAGTGACCAATTTGAACCTTATTCCTAATAATAATAATAAATAAATAAATAAAAGAAGAAAACCTCTCTTTTTTTTTTTTTTTTTTTTTTTTTGGATTTTGAAAGTTTACTGTGAATAGGTAGTGAATTTAGGTAAAAGTAACCACTTTGAAGATAATTGAGGGAAGGCCGGAAGGGGAGGGAGTGAATGTACCTGTAATTGAGGGAGGGAATAAGATATACCGCTATAACTTAAGGATGAAAGTGCCATTTTCTTATTTGTGTATATTCATATTTTAAATTGTGTTTGGATGAGTTGGTTTAAGACCATATACTTGTGAATATTATTTGTAGAGTTATTACTTTTGACCTATTGAAGCAGATCCAAAGAGATCAAATGTATCAATACAAAGAAGATTAAATGTTATTATTTACTAGTACCATATCGAGACCAGAATTTTAGAATTGTATCAATTGACTAAGTGTTCAATTTTTTATCAACGGATCATAAAAAAACATTATCACTAATTTTAAGGTAGATGGCCAAATCTATCAAACTGCTTATATTTGTATACTTATCATGAGTGTTCAAAAAAGTATACTTATCATGATTGTAGTGGACCAGGTAACATTGTTGGAACCCATAGCTTATATAAATAAAACATTGCATCACTAGTGAAGGGGTTACACACAATTTGGTAACTGGTAAGTACGTGTTTGTTGGGGAAAAAAAAAATCAAATAATTCATTCTACAAAAGGCGAGTAGGTTCTAGAAAAAATGATACATGTGATTCAACTGCATAAATAAATAAATAGTTCTTTCAAAAAAAATAATAATAAAAAAAGTCTCTGAAACATTTAGGAAAGGTTCTCAATTGTTACCTAAATCAGCTTAGTTTGTGTATCAGTCAAAAGGTTATTCTTATAAATAGTTAAACTTTAAAAATTATGGTTATCAATTCGACCAATTATGACTGTCTAAAAAAAAATTTTTGAAACTTTGATTTATAGGAAATTATGCACTCTCAATTTAAAATGCATTTTAAGTGAAGCTAACCTTATAACCCTAGCCACTAAAAGATCACAATGTGATAAATCAGTATAAATTAATCATAAATGGCCACCTTAAACTAAGAAAATCAATAAATAGTTTTCATGATGAATACTTAAAGGCCATATTTGGTAACATAATTAGCTTTATCACCTAATTTTGACTTATTTGATCACTATTAACTATTTGACTTGATTAAAAAATCAATATGAGTATTTGATTAATTAGTTTTTTGTAACGATTTATTGCTCCAAAATGCTAAAATTCAAAAAGTTGCTCAAATCAGTTTTTTCAATCAACTTTTTGAGAAAGTCATTTTGCATGTAATCTGTTAGAAAAAATAGCTTAAAATGGCATAAAATGGCATGTTAAGTGGCTATTTTGTGGTATCAGTAGGGTCCACTTCCGATTTGGGTCGGGTCAAAGTGGATTCGGATTCTTCGTAGTGAGACGAAGAGATCGATATATTGTACGCTCAAAACGGATAATGGGTGAATGAGATATTGATTCTCAAAGTAGACCCATTTGAGTTGGAAAATGAAGGGAAAAAGTGAGCTTTTTGTCCCACATTGCTTTGGAATGAAGATTTTCCCCCCTTATATACAAGAGCTCTTTTGAAGCTTGTAGAATTGTATAGCATAGAGGCTCTCTCGCGCGGAGGGGGGGGGGGGGTGCAAATCAAATTCCAACTAGATGAGATTGGAAAAAGGCTTGATTCAAGCCCGAGCTCGTGTGCGCCGGCACCTGGGGGCACGAATGTCGTCTGGAGGTTGTGGTGCACCGAGAGCACAACTCTCGTGCAACAGAGACCACGAAAGGTGCAAGGGCCGAAACTGGGTAAGGTCGAAAGTTCTGACTGTTATGGGGATTGAACTCATCTGTTACAGAATTAATATCCTATTAACTCCAATTTTTGAATTCTGAATTCAATTCCCAGGTAGGGCTGTGCAAAACCGACCCCATCCGAAATACCCGCCCGACCCGAGATCCGATGCAACGTTTCCGAACCCGGGCCGAAACCGACATCAGAAATTCGATCCGGGTCCTGAAACGACGCCGGATTACGGGGTCGGATAGGGTAGACAAAAACCACATCCGACCCGCCCGAAATATCCGATCTTTCCTAGGGTTTACTAAAGCTTAGTATGGTACGACGTCGTATTAGGCTGTTATATATGCATCCCTTTGCGTACTGCGCAGCCATACGCTCCACTCCTCGCTGAGACCCTTCGCATTAATTCTCTCAACCTCTCATTCTCTCTGACTTCTCTCTACTCCGATGTCTCCGAATCTCCGATTCTCTCTGTGACTCTGTGAGACTCTCATACTCTCAAGTCTCAATCTCTCAATCTCTGAGAATCTCAGTCTCTCAGAGTCCTCTCTTCTTCTCTAATCTCAGATTCTCAGTGACTCACTTACTCGTTGAGTCGTTGAGACCTGTGCACTGTCCGGCTGTGTCTAATTCTCCGGTGACCGTTGGAGGCTTACAGTGGTGGAAGCCCTTCTCTCTGGTGATTACTGGTTAGAGACCCTTGTTCTCCGGGGAGTATTTGGGGAAAACAAGTAAATCGCTAACCCTAGTGTTTATATTTATGATTATTCACTGTATTTGTGTTATATGATGATATATGTGTTATAGTGTGATCTATTTTGGTGAAAGCTATTTTAAACCCAAACCCTAGTTCTATATTTGTGATTTATGTGATATATGATGATGTATTTTGGTGAAAGCTGTTTTAAACCCAAACCCTAGTTCTATATTTGTGCTTACAGTGATATATGCTGATGTATTTTGGTGGAAGCTGTTTAAACCCAAACCCTAGTTCTATATTTGTGATTTATGTGATATATGCTGATGTATTTCGGTGGAAGCTGTTTTAATCCCAAACCCTAGTTCTATATTTGTGATTTATGTGATATATGCTGATGTATTTCAGTGGAAGCTGTTTTAATCCCAAACCCTAGTTCTATATTTGTGATTTATGTGATATATGCTGATGTATTTTGTTGGAATCTGAATTCTGATGACCCTTAAACAGTTAAAGGCTTAAATGTGAAAGGTGGAAGCCCTTAACTGAAATCCAGATAGTGATGAACTGGAAGAAGTGTCTGAATCTGGATTTGTTTGTGAATTTGTTTATGGATGTATGACCCTTAAATGTTCTCAACTGTTTGTGCATAATGTAAATATGTAAATGTAATGTTATATAGTTATATATGAAATCTTGATAGATGATGACACAAAGAAGTGTCTGAATCTGGATTTCTTTCAATGCTTGAATGCTTGGTCTGTTAATCTGTATGACAAACAATTGTTTGAAATATGAATGTTGATGCCCATCTTTTTAGATGGAGAGCATCAGTCAACCTAGTTCTGGACCCCAACCTTCAACTCAAGAGGGACAAGGACAACCCCAAGGCACTGAGATACCTCAGCAGCCTCAGGTGACTCCTGTAGTTCCAAAGAAAAAGAGAAAAGAGGTTGAGTCCAGATCCAGGGTGTGGTTGCACTTTGTAAAGATATATGATGAAGAGCATAATGTGATTGAGGGGAGGTGCAATTATTGTGCTAAGATCTTTTGTGCTGAGCCAAAAAAACATGGCACTTCATCTTTAAGAAATCATATGAAGGCCTGTCTTAAAAATCCTCACTCGAAGGATACAAGGCAGTCACTTCTGACTTTCAATGCTGTCTCATCTTCTGCACCAGGGGGTTCTGAAGGGGTAATGGGGGAATTAGGCACATGGGTGTTTAATCAGGAAGCCATTAGGAGGGCTTTGTGTGAGATGATTATAATAGATGAGTTGCCCTTTAGGTTTGTTGATGGGATAGGGTTTAGGAGATTTATTCTAGTTGCCTGCCCAAGGTTCCAAATTCCTTCTAGGTGGACAGTTTCAAGGGATATTTTCCAAAGATACATAGATGAGAGATCAGTCCTTAAACAAATCTTTAAGGGTTGCTCCCAAAGAGTGAGCTTAACCACTGACACATGGACCTCTGTACAGAGGATAAACTACATGTGCATTACTGCACATTTCATTGATGATCAGTGGAAGCTGAACAAAAAAATCATAGCCTTTGTCCCTGTTTCATCTCATAGGGGAGAGTATATAGCCAAGGCCTTGGAGACTTGTCTGGTTGAGTGGGGTATTAAAAATGTTTTTACTGTCACAGTTGACAATGCCTCTTCCAATGATACTGCCATGGGATTTTTTAAGAGTAAGTTGATGTCTTGGGGTACCACTTCTGTAAGGTCTAAGTACATGCACATGAGGTGTATAGCCCACATTCTGAATCTAGTGGTGCAAGATGGGTTGAAGTTTGCTGATACTTCAGTTAAGAGGGTTAGGGAAGCAGTTAGATGGGTTAGGAATTCCCCTGCAAGGCTAAAAAAATTTAGAGATCTTGCTGAACTTATTGGGGTGGAAGCCAAATCAGCTTTGCAGTTGGATGTTCCTACAAGATGGAATAGCACATATATGATGTTGAACACTGCAATCCAGTACCAGGCAGTCTTTGATGCCTATCTGGGAAATGATCCCTCATTTTCTGATGACCTGGGTGCCTCTGTGCCTACTTTTATGGATTGGTTTAATGTGAAAAGTTTGGTAACTCTGCTAAAAACTTTCTATGACATGACTGTGAGAATCTCTGGTTCTTTATATGTTACATCTAACACTTTCTTCAGTGAGATCTCTGATCTTAGTTGCATGTTAGATGACATGACTTGTGATGAAGCTGGTCCTAAAAAGGTAAATTACATCCCTTAAATAAAATGTTTAATGCTTAACAAATGTGTATATTAAATTATTAACTAATGTTATTTATTTGTTTATTTACAGGTAATGGGCACCCAAATGAAAACTAAGTTTTTGAAATATTGGGGGGACCCTGAAAAAATGAACTGTGTGATCTTCTTTGGCACTATTTTGGATCCTAGAGATAAGGTTGAGTACATGTCTGCCCAGTTAACTCAACTATATGGTGATGAAAAAGGAAAATCCTGTTTTGAGAAGATCCAATCTGCACTTCTTGAGCTGTACAATGATTATGCTGCCACTTACTCTGTGGATGTGAACCCTGAACCAGCTGCTGTTGGCCAACCTTCTCAAACTGTCTCTGTGAGTGTGCAGCCTAGTGCTGTAACTGTTGGTAGGCCACAAGGTAAGCTGAAATCTCAATTGAAAAGGCAAAGGATGGAGAGTGGTGGAAGCCTAAAACAGACTGACCTGCAAATATATTTGAGTGAGGCCATTGTGGAAGATAAGGTTGATTTTGATATCCTCAAATGGTGGAAGGTGAACTCTGAAAGACTGCCAATTCTCTCTAAAATGGCAAGGGATATTCTTGCAGTTCCAATATCCACTGTGGCTTCTGAAAGTGCTTTTTCAACCAGTGGTAGAGTGTTGGATCCATTTAGGAGTTCCTTAACTCCTAAGATTGTGGAAGCTTTAATTTGTACACAGGATTGGTTGAGATTACCAAATCAACCTATTCAAATTGAAGAAAATATTGATGATTGTGAAAGGCTTGAGAAAGGTAATAGTAGTTTACTTAAATACTTTCATTATTGTGTATTTATTTCATTATTTGTATGATAATTAACGTGTTTTTTTTTTTTTTTTTTGCAGAGTTGCCAACTGGAATTAGGACTGCTGGAACTTCCCTACCAACCATTGTAGTAATGTTCATTCATTCTGCTCTCAGCTTTATATTTAGTTGTTATTCACTTATTCTGTTCTCTTAGAAAATTAGATTACCATTCTGTTTTTATTTATAGCTTATGAATTCAATTATGTAATTGCATTTTAGTGCCTCAGCCCCTATCCACAGTTCCACTTGATTGAACATTTGAACATCAGGTTACAGGTATGTGTAGTAGTATGGGCTATGATGATGCTTCCACCTTTGTCTGAATCAAAGGACTTGGGGTTGGTATGTTGCTCAAGATTTGGATTTAGTTCCAAAACTTTAGAAGCAATTTCCCTCAAATCTTAATGATATGAAACAACAACAATCTGAGCCTATTTTGGATTTTTTAGCAAATAATATTAAACTGTTATTCTTTCCATTTTTTTTTGTTTTTGTTATTTGCTATTTAAATTTGCAACTTAAGCAGGAAGATGAGGAATGCTGATGATGCCTGAGTTGCTGGTTGGAGTGATTGCTGTTGGATGTTGCTGCATTTGGTTTTTGAATGGTGCCTTAACACTTTTAACAGTTTTTTTTTTTGGAGAAATTGAATCTATAAACTGTTTTTGAATTGTAATTTGTAAGTACAAAGCTGTAAAGTTGTTAGCTTCATTAACTTGTAACAAGCTAGTTTGTACTTGTGATTTGTGAACTTGTAATTTTGAAGTTGTAAATTGTTAACTACTTAGAAGTTAACAAGTTACAACTTATTTAGTTATTTAGTGTTGATTTACTCATTCAGTAGTTAATTTGTTGTTTTTATTAATTTTTATTTCATATCCGATTTAGCCCGTAATCCGAGGAAAACCGCCCGATATCCGAGATTTACATATCCGAAAAGTTTGTACTTAGAAATTACACGGATAGGATTCAATATCGGTAATCCGAGAACCGAACGGATTCCCATTCCCGCTACCCGAACCCGCCCGAACCGTCCGATGCACACCCCTATTCCCAGGTAGTGGCCTGCTGTTGGAAGGCAGCTTTAATGTCATTTTTTAATTGCCATAATAAAGGCTATTGGCTCCTTCAACCCTATATAAGAGAGGGTAGAGCCAGTAGAGTTTGACACACAGAAAAATAGAACACGAAAGTTCATCATTTTTAGCCTCAAAACTTCTCTGCTTCTACTCCTTCTTCAAGCCTTACTGTGTTCATAACCGTGTCTTGCTCGCTAGATTCCTTGTTTGAGTGCTCAAACATTGAATCACTAGCAAGTTTTATCCTGGGAAGTCTGGGCCACAACGCTCCTAGCATCTTTGGGAGGTGTCAAATAAGGTTTTAAGGAAAGAGTGCTCACTTGACTCTTGCAAAAACCCAACACCAAACACGAGCCAAATTTTCTCCATTTTTCATTCCCTTTCTTTTCAGAAAATAATAATCTTATTTTTTTATTATTATTTGTTTTTCTACCAACGGTTCCTACATAATCAGCTATCATCTAACAACCAATTTACAAAACACTTTTTTACAATTAACTAATCAAACCCACTAACCAATTAGCTAACAGCTATTTACCTAACACCTTCAAAATCTTGTGATTACCAAGTCAATTGTTCAATCAACTTAATTGGAATTGTCTAAAAAAAAATCTCTCAAACTTGTTTCATATGTTCTTGGTTCTTCGTTCATCAAATTTCTCAAATATTGGGCTTATCAACATGGGCTGCTCATTGGGCTCCGAACCTAACACGATCAAAATGAACTGTTCTTAACAGGGTTCATCTTTTTAAGCCCACAATAAAGAAAGCCCAACACTGAACTTTGAGCAAATTATACCAATAGTTATGCAGTGCAACCGAATGTACCATGCGCACCGCATGGTGCATACGGTTCAAAACAACGTCGTTTTGATTAAAAACGCGCGTCCCAGCATTATTGTGGATATATAATTATGAAATTGTGGATATATAGTCATGAAATTGTGGTCATATAGTTATGAATTTATGGATATTTAGTTCATTCATTATGGATATTTAGTTCAATCATATATTGTGGATATTTAGTTCATTCATTGTGGATTTTTACTTCATTCATTCATTCATTGTGGATTTTTACTTCATTCATTCATTCATTGTGGATTTTTACTTCATTCATTCACTGTGGATATATAGTTATGAAATTGTGGATATATAGTTATGAAATTGTGGTTATATAGTTATGATTTATGGATATTTAGTTCATTCATTGTGGATATTTAGTTCAATCATATATTGTGGATATTTAGTTCATTCATTGTGGATTTTTACTTCATTCATTCATTCATTGTGGATTTTTACTTCATTCATTCACTGTGGATATATAGTTATGAAATTGTGGATATATAGTTATGAAATTGTGGTTATATAGTTATGAATTTCTGGATATATAAAAATGTTATTGCCGGGAATCGAACCTGGTTTCTTCTTTAAGTGGGACGCGCGTTTTTTTAACCAAAACGGCGCCGTTTTGCAACCGTATGCACCTTGCAAGGTGCATTCGGTTGCACAGCATAATTTGCGAAATTATACCATTAACCATAATCCACTTTGCATTGTGAATCCTGATCCAAAAATAATATTCAAATTATATATTTATCGTTAACAAATTATGTGTTTGTAAAATAAATTGAATACACATAATATGTTAATTACATGCACAATGCACATAATATGCAACTAATATATTATGTTTCTACACTTTAACATATTATATGTCTTCAATTTACTTACAAACTAGTAGTTGCACCCGTGCGATGCACGGCCATGTTATTATGGCGAAATATATTAAAAATTGTTTTATTCGTGATATATGGTCAATAAGGTTATAGGCGTCACAAATACACAAAATATAATATTTTATTGTTAACTAAACAAAACAATTATACATTATTAAAGATTTCTTTGTAAATTAATTTCAATATGACATTTACTTACCAAATAAGCTTTACTACGAAAGTTTATGCGAAAAAATGGTAAAAGGATGATTTTATGGACTTTTAATTATAATCTTAATACAAAACATATATAACTAAAATTATTAAGAAATAATAATTTAGCATGATCTTACAGAAGTTAATCATTATTACATTAACTAAAGATACATATATTTGTGAACCATGAATAAAGTATACACTATTAATATAATGAATTTACATTATTGCCATAATAAAAGTTTATTATGGTATTTATTTATATTATAAAATAATACATTTTTAGTAAATTTAAAACTATAGTCCACAAAACATAAGTAATTAGACCAATATACAACTTAAATATGTAAGTAAAAAATAATAATTTGACTAAAAATAATGCATTTTTAGTAAATTTAAAACTATAGTCCACAAAACATAAGTAATTAAATCAATAATGCATTTGTAGTAAATTTAAAACTATAGTCCACAAAACATAAGTAATTAGACTAATATACAATTTAAGATTGAGTAGAGCTTGTAAAAAAAAAAAAAAAAAAAAAAAAAAAAAAAAAACTTCTAAATTCTAAATTCCTAACCTCATAGTAAAGCTTCTAAATTCTATATTCTAAATACCTAACCAAGCTTGAAAAACTATTCACAGTATTATAATATGACTCACAATCAACATTAGAGCTTAAATACATTTTACCCCCGAATACATTCAAACTATTCATGCATTCATTAATTTCATCAACAACATCAATGTTCCAAAATATCTTTACCAATTAAATTGTTACAATCAAATTCTCCACTTCAAAACATAGAATTATCAACAATAGCTTGTATTGGATCACCATTTGACTTTTATAAAAGATTTTATTATATGTAAATAATAAATATATAATTATTTGAACACGTCTTAAAACATTCTAACTATTTATTTATCACTTGAATGAATACAAATGTAATATTACAACTCAATACAATAAAATAAAATATTAAATAATAATATAAATTACAGAACAAATGTAATATTATAACTCAATACAATAAAATGAAATATAAATCTTTAAAAAGTAAAATTACATTAAAACAAATCTTTAATAAAATTTTCTTAACCCAACATTTATATCATATTAAAAAAAAAAAATATATATATATATATATATATATATATATATATATATATATATATTTATTTATATATATCCCACAACAATGGCCCAAAACCAGAGCCCAAACCCGACCCAACCATCCCCCATATAAATACCAAACCCACCCGACTCAACCCAAACTCCCTCCCCCATTTTCGCGTCGGCTTCTTCGCTCTGCTGCCCAAAAACCCTCGTCCCCTCAACAGGAATAGAAACCAAGCCAAATCATTCAGAACAAACCTCATTCCAAGCTACGTTAGATTCCGGCGTTGGTGCTGCGGTTCTTCGTCGTGCGGAAACCAACAATGAAGAGACGGAAAACCTCAACTTTCCCGCAGTGCGTTTGGCGGTGTAGATTTGCAGTCAGCAAAATATTCTGGTAGCGGCAGGTAAAACTACAATTTTATAATTTTGCATTTATGTGTATAAAATTGTTTTGACAGATTTCTTTATTTTGATTTTAAGAAGATTTTACACATGCAACGATTTTCATATCTACAAATCTTCCTATATATTAATGCCATAAGATTTCGGCCAATGAAATGGCTTCATTTTCCCACTCAAACTATACTACACCGTTTTGGCATTAGAAGATAGAAGATTACAGTCAAAGATTATTTATTAATTTTGTATTATTATTAATTAAATACATAAAAATACTACATTTATGCTCAGCCACCTTTTTGGTTTCCCCATTTTGTGGGAAGTTGTTCCACATAATTTTAAATTTGCTGGCAACCGTTTGCATTAATAAATACATCACTGTAAATTCAAATAAATTAAAAATCTAGAAGATATAAACTCTGGGCGGACGTTTCAGTATCCAGTGCTGCTTGGAACTCTAAATCCTTGGAAGCTGATTATTTTTGGAACTCTAGAGCCTTCAACCTCTTCTATAAATCCTTCTATACACAAACAATTCACAATTTGCATTAATCCTCAACGTGTTTGTTCTTCTCAGCTTAGATTATGCCATCCACCTGATATAACCAAAAAATGGCTCCACTATGCATCTTTCGAAAAGACATCTGCCCAACTACATATAAGAAAGCTATTAGGTTAAAAACATGTATTGTGCCTGCCATAAAGAGTCAAGAATGTGTCCTTTACGCCATTGAGGTAATGTTTTCTTTACAAATCTGAATAAGAGTCAAGAATGTGTCCTTTACGCCATTGAGGTAATGTTTTCTTTACAAACCTGCATTCCTCATTGAGGACATCTACATTCCTCATTACTTGCAATTCACTGTTCAGAATTGCCTAATTCCCAAAGTAGGGATCTACTGCTCAAAGATCCTACAGCCAGAAGATCAACATGACACTGATGATGTAAGGTTTCTAACTAAATATAATTCTAATCTATAATTAATTGTTATTGTTTTAAATGGAATATAATCT